GGAAGATATTTTCTTTTTATTTTTTGTGGGGGGGAAAAAGCATGCATGTGCTCCTTCTCGGAAGGCACGTGACGAAAAGCTAATTGGGTTTGCAAAAGTATCGCCTTTTTTGCCCCTTTTTCCAATGGTAATTTTCTAAAATTAAAAGGTTCTACAAAAGATAATTATTGATTAATGGTTATTTGATTAACATTTGTAAGTTCCTTCGTTATAGTTGTTCATCTGTTTCATTCTTTGTTTCCTCTCCATTTTTACTATTAAATTGGCTATAAAACCATTTTTTTACTAGTAAATTAATTATTATAATATAATGTAAAATATTAGATAACTAATTCAGATAAGTATCCCTAATTAAGCTATATTTAAACTTTACAAATCAAATTTGAAATAAGTATTGCTAGTTAAAAAAAAATAGGCACCGAAAGATATTAATGTCTCGTAATACACGATGCATTTTTTAACAAGCTGCTGATAATTATTAGGATACAATAGAACAAAATGGGAGAATTTTAATTTTATTATTTTTTAAGAGGACTACCATCTACGCAAGATATTATATGCGTATAAAATATCGGACTGAAAGTTGGAATAAAATAAAAAACAATGCGTATTTTCTTATAAGAAATTTGGATCGATAAGACATGTGCAATTACCCACTTTCACATGCTCATCTTCTAATTATTGACATGTACTTGATTTGATGTTCTTCCAATAAAATATCAATCTACATGATTAAGTATATTGCTATAATTGTAATTTTTAATCGAGTCCTATGACTAAAATAAATAATAGGAATTTCAAATGGATGTTGTGTTGTTGTAAATGTATATTGATGTTTATGAGGAGATATTACGATAGTAATTTTATTTAAGAATGTTATAATCATTTTGGAAAATGGGAAAAAAGGATAATAGTAAAACCCATGCTTGTCGGGTCGGTCAAATAAGCGACATGGCATGAGGACACACTGGACCCAATGATAAGAGTTACCAAATGATGAAACGAAATAAAATAAATTTACAGGCGTGGGTCCATGTGATCACGTGGACTCTGATTAATTGTCATCTGCATCATGTCAACTTGTTCACATTTCACACCCATACACGTATATATGGGCGCATATATATATACACACACTCTACTCGTTGTAAATTGCCATTTTACAAAAAAAAGACATGATTAATGCATAAATAAAATTTTAAAATTAAAATTTGCATTTATCTGAAACTAAATCACTAACCCAACACAGTCCACGATAACTTGAATATTCTGATTTTGCATGCCTGGTAAATAATTCGTATAGATGGCAGAAGTTTGAATAAACCAATAATACAGGGGTACAATTTTAAATATATGAAATTTCAGGGTAACAAATAAATTTCCGTATTAAACAGTCCCTTCATTTAACATGGGTCTATTGTGGTAGGCCCATCAATAAGTTGAGGCTCATATATGGAGATTAAAACCTGGTCCATTAAGAAGAGATATGCGCTACCAAGCCCATTAGGGTTTAGGGTTCTTTCGCATTAAGCGTAATAATAAGTGCAGTTGTCGTCGTTACCAAGCGCCTCTCTCTCCCGTCACCGAGCTTCTGCCCTCCATTTATCCAATCTCTGTCTGTGAGGAGACGGGGACGAAGAGATGGTGAACGTTAGCTACTACCGCAACTGTAAGTCGCGTTTCGTTATGCTTGGTCTCTTTTTTAGTTTGCCTTCGAACACATTCTCGATTTGGTCGATTAGGGTTTGTCCCGGCAATTTTACTCGATTGGCAGCGAATTAGGTGACTGGGCTCTGTAAATTTGGGTTAACCTTGGAGTGATTATGTTCACTTTGCTCTGCTGTAGCATATTTTGTTGTGCGAGATCCTGGGCTTTAGGAATTGATCGAACCTTGCGATATAAAGCTAGAGTATTTGCCAAAAATACCATTAACTTTTACTTCGAGAGAATAGAACTTGTAGTAATTTGGTTTATGTGTGGAATATTCAGCATTAAATTAGTGATTGTAGAGCAGTCATGCGAGTCATCTAGTGGGGGACTGACTGGTTCTCTTGCGAAAAGTTTGTGAATCTTTTCCACTGTCTATTTTGCTGTCGTGTTTGATTTTTTGGATAGTAAGATGTTTTGGCATTCACAAAATACCTCATGAATCTGAGATTTAGATGTGTTGGACATTTATCAATGATGTCGAATGGTTGACAATGTGTTCAGATGGGAAGACCTTCAAGAAACCACGTCGTCCATATGAGAAGGAGCGTTTGGATGCTGAATTGAAGCTCGTCGGAGAGTATGGTCTCCGTAACAAGCGTGAGCTCTGGAGAGTACAATATGCGCTTAGCCGCATCCGTAATGCTGCAAGAGATCTACTCACTCTCGACGAGAAGAATCCAAAGAGGATCTTTGAGGGTGAGGCTCTCCTCCGTAGAATGAACCGTTTTGGTCTCCTTGACGAGAGCCAGAACAAGCTCGATTATGTCTTGGCTTTGACTGTTGAAAACTTCCTTGAACGCCGGCTCCAGACCCTCGTCTTCAAGTCCGGTATGGCAAAGTCCATCCACCATGCTCGTGTTCTCATTAGACAGAGGCATATCAGGTATGCATTCTCGCTTGTATATAACCCACTGCCACTTTTTTTTGTATGTTTCACAAAATTGTCGTCCTGAGGAAACGTAGCCATATGAACTGAAGTAAGCCAGTTTATCATAGATTGTGTGTAACCTATGTAATCAAACTAATCCAATTCGGCGTGAAAAGCGTTCAAACCCAGCTACCATTTTTTGTTATACAGGAGATATAGCCTCATTATATTGTTTTAGTGATGCATTGCTCTTGAACATTTGTGTGAATATGCTTTGGGAGGTTATATATATTCAATTTGTGCTACACAAATATGTTGTTCTGTAGGGTTGGTAAGCAGTTGGTGAACATACCGTCGTTCATGGTGAGAGTCGATTCACAGAAACACATAGACTTTGCATTGACCAGTCCCTTTGGCGGTGGCCGTCCCGGTCGGGTAAGAAGAAAGAATGAGAAAGCTGCCTCCAAGAAAGCCTCGGGTGGTGATGGAGACGAGGACGACGAAGAGTAAGCGTCTTCTTCATTTTGCTCTCCTGTCATGCAAACCTGGTTTTCGACCTAGGGTTTCGGGTTCTAAATTTAGGGTTTGTTTCATCTGTTTGCATTGGACTTGGTTTTTCCTAATCACGGGGATTGTTAATTTTTAAAATGTTTAAAACAAGGTTGTTATTATTGCATTTTGTGCTAGATTTCCTATCGTTTGTCTGAATTTATATCTGAGGAGGTCGTCCATCTCTTTGCATGATTATTACTGTGTTAAAAATTTTGTGAAATTAATATCATGAAATTCATTTAGATCCTTCTGTTCGTGCCTGTTAGCAAATTCGTTCTTAACTTCTGGGTGCGTGTTTGAAATTATGCCGTACTGTATCCAAATGATGGGCCACGGAAATTGGGCTTTTGTAATGTTACAAATGAATTGGGTGGGCCTTGAGGCAAAGGCCACAAAGCTTTGAGCCCAAATATTGGGGCCGGCATGTGACGGTTTAATAAAGTTTTATCTTATTTGATTAACGATTATTTATGGTTTGATTCAAGATCAATAATTAAATGGATGGTATTATCTTTTATCTTATACCGTACGAGGTTCGTTGAAATGTTATGTAATAGATCTCGTCTGGGAACGAACGTGAAAATTGTTTATGGCTAATCATTAATCACTCTTAATGCAATTATCTAACGTCCAAAACCATTTCTCCGCATTTGGGTCGGATTTGAAAATTCGAAAGTAAAGATTTTACAGAAAATCTTTAGTAGCTGTCACAGACAAAGAATGAAGAAGAAGAGAAAGACAAGTTGTTCGTGTAGAACATATAAAAGAAAATGCTTTTTCGTATGTTATTCTCAAAATATGTTCTTTACATAATATAGACATTTCACTGTCCATAAAAAAAGGAAGATACGTTAGGAGATATATTGTTTGCCATATACAAGGATACGATCAAGGCATTAGAGTGAATCATGGAGATTTTCCTCTGATCTCTCAAACCTTCCTTTTGATCGTGCAATTTTGCTCATTGCTTGCTGGAGAAGAAAGCCTTAACGTCATCTTGGTTTGGTTGATTGATTCGGTTGTGTACTTCGGTTCGGTTTTCCTCAACAGAAAGTTCTCTCTCTCTCTCTCTCGTAACATGTTCTCAGCTTTGTACGTATAAAAAAAAACCTCATGTATAATAGATAAACTAAAAAACAAATATTAAAGAAAAGGGGTAAACGAACCCACTAGAAATAAAAGAGAGAGAGAGAGAGAGAGAGAGAGAGAAATAGAGATGGAGGATCCCAAGAAAGAGGGGAGAGGAGGCAGGGCACATGGGAGCAGTGGAGCTAGTTGGAGAAGCTTCAGACTTGATCTCTTATTTTATATACATTTGTTTTTTTTTTAAATATGAATATGAATAATAAATACATTATATATATGAATCGTATCATTACAAGGAGCAAAGAATATATATAACCACAACCACAGTGGATCCATCTCCCACTTTTTCCAATATGAGCATGTGATAGACCTTGTTGTTGGCCAGGTCTAAGGCACTATATCGTAGGACCCACACCCCTTCAGTATATGTTTTAGAAATACAGAGTATTCGTTTTTTTGTATTTGTAATTTTGTGTGCATAAGATATGACAACAGGGCAGGGGTGGGTCTATCTTTCACATCTCACCTTGGATCCTCATCAAACTCCTCCCCTGCTAAACCCATCAGGGGACTGAAAAAAGACAAGTCATCCATTTGCATTCATATCAACTCCTATCATGATTCATGAATATATATATGATACCCCTAATTAAGTGTCTTTGAAGTTCAAAGGATTTGAAATGATGGACTAGTTTGGTTATTTTCCCTATATTGGTGATATATATCTTTAGGTTAAAAGCTAAAACCAAAACTCAGTCCCTTGTACCAAGTACCAACATCCTAAAACAAATCGACCATGGTGTGTTTTTACTATCACTATTAGCCTATATATACATATATATATATATATAATGTAAAAATTGTAGCTATAATTGTGTAAAAAAAATAGTAGTTGTAATTTTGCAGGTGGTGCATTCATTTACCACCGTGAAGGGAAGACAGTAGTTTGTCCCGTAGAATGTTTTCTTTGGAGGCCAATGAGTGGTGATGTCAACTACAATTGGACGGTCTATTTATTACATCTTTTTTAGTCAGATATATCTAATAATATTAATAAAACCAAGACAGCAATGAAAAAAAGGGTAATAAATTCGAAGTATATATCTAAAGGGTCCATTTATTCATTCACAAAACTTACCTTAAAAACTTTTAAAATTTAATGTGAAAAGAACTTTGATAAGTGGCTTAGAGGATGGGTCGGGGAAACCACCCATGAACTGATCTCTCTCTCTCTCTCTCTCTCTCTCTCTCTCTCTCTCTCTCTCTCATGTCCTCTTCATATATATGTATATATGTTAAAAGGTGGCAATAGCATGAGGCTCATATGAGGAGTTGAGAAAACTCCAAGAACCCACCCAACACACACACACATCCTTCGATCTGTCCAAACAGTCGAACAATCGATCTTCACCGGAAAAAAATATATAATCACAAGGAAAATTGAGAGAGAGACAGAGTGAATATATATATGTACGATCAAAGCAGCAGTATCGAAGCAGGATTGAGATTGAATATGGGATTTCCTCCTCATGGGTTTATGTTCCAACAACTCCATGAAGACAATGGTCGTCACCTTACTTCTCCTCCCTCCCTCCCCTCTTGCCCTCCTCAGCTCTTCCACGGTATATCCATACTCTCTCTCTCTCTCTCTCTCTCTCTCTCTCTCTCTAGTACTATCAATCAATATCAAATCTTGTTTAGGGGGATCATATATATATGTTTTGGTTCTTGACTTCAGTTCTCTAGATCATGTTAAATATTACATATTACATGTAAAATTTTATAGATATATTTTGAAGATAGAATCTATCGAATGGTCCAAAATGATCTGCGAATTACTATATATATATATGGTTCAACCTTTTTTTTGTTCTTGTGCGTGTGGCATATATATTGTCATAGGAGGAGGAGGAGGAAACTACATGATGAACAGATCCATGTCGTTTTCTTCGGGTGGGGATCAAACCCAAAAGAGCACGACAAATGGGCAGGAGGAAGCGGAAGAAGATCTGTCAGACGATGGATCGCAGCTACTGGGAGAGAAGAAGAAGAGGCTGAACTTAGAACAGGTAAGGGCGCTTGAGAAGAGCTTCGAATTGGGGAACAAGCTCGAGCCCGAGAGGAAGATGCAGTTGGCGAAGGCATTAGGGCTTCAGCCGAGACAGGTTGCCATTTGGTTTCAGAACAGAAGGGCCAGATGGAAGACCAAGCAGCTCGAGAAAGACTACGAAGCTCTCAAGCAACAGTTCGAGGTCCTTAAAGCCGACAACGATGCTCTTCATGCCCAGAACAAGAAACTCAATGCCGAGGTACATATATATATATATATATTAGTATCTAAATTATATCTTCGTCATCGTATGCATAATATACGATCTAACCAATCCATTAAACTCTTGGAGTTATATATAAGGGAAATTATCATATATATACATATACATCCATATATATTGCATATAATATGTTATCATCATCGAGTGGTAATTAATGGGAGGTTCTTAAGCCAGCGTTAACTATGAATATGATACACACACACCTATAGGAGACTTTAATTCCCTAAAAAAAATGAAATAGTTTAATTATTTGTTAGGCGCTTGATCCAACACTCTTAAGATGTTTGTCAAAAGCCAATAAATTCATCTAGTTAAATAACCATATAAGATTCTTGATCAATATTTAATGAATTAATTAAGTAATTAATTACTTCTCTTATGTCTGTGATATCATGTGTCGGAAGCTCTGCCCATACCATTAAAAAAAAGGTGTTTAACCTCGGAAGTAGACATATATTACGTACCATAAGTTTAAAAAAAAATAATAGAAAATATACAAATAATACCAAAAGAAAAGGGTGTACGTTATGAAGAGAAAAATGAATGTGATATGTATAATTAATTTGGTTAAGCACGATCAATGATGTAACAGTTGGTGGTGCTGAAGAAGAAAGAGCGTAACGAAGGGAGCAGAAGGGGAGGGGGAGGAGGAGAGGCTTCGTGGAGCAACAATGGAAGCACAGAGAACAACAGTTCGGACATAAACTTGGAGATGTCGAGAACACAAGCTGTCAACATTATCAAAGATCTCTTCCCTTCCTCGGCCACTAACCACCAGATGGTTCAGGAAGATCAGAGCTTCTGCAACATGTTCGACGAAACGACGTCGTCCTCGGCTGGTTACTGGGCATGGCCCGATCATCATCCCCAGCCCCACCACTTCACCTGATGGATCTCTTCATCCCCTTTTCGATTCTATTTTCTTTGATATTATCATGTTACTGCTTTCAATTGAATTGGGTTTGTAGAGTATTGGTGTATAGGGGACACTCAACACATCATTTAGTATGATACTTTATTGGTATTTCTCAATAAAAAAATATTTTATTTTTCTCACAACAAACACCATATATACCGATTGCATTCTTACATTTTCAATGCAGTTGCAGTTTTCTGTTCATCGGCTTTTATTGAGAAATAAAATTCAGAAAAAAAGGAAATAAAATTTGGATCCTATTTTAAGTTTGTGTGCCAATTCCATTATATTTTTCTTTCTCATGGTACACTATATATAAGGAAATTTCAGATGCATGTGCCTTGAAGTGGGACTCCAGCTCTAGTCCATTGAAACAACATGAAACCATATGAGATATGTACGTATTTAACATGATAATTTTCTCCTACGTATATTAACGTCTCCATAGTATGTGAGTGGTCGTGGGTTTTTATGCAAGTTGCTTTGTATAAGCACTTCTTTTTGTAGAATAAACATACCATGCGTATGCATAACCAAAACAAAATTGCAATTGCATGCATATGTATCTAATATATCTATATGCATCGAATGTATATGACTTGAGTAATACCGTATCCTTGTACTTAGAAGAAAAAATCATGACTTTGAAACAAACATATGGTGAGATTAAAGTAGAGGTCGTGTTAGCATTACTATCATGCGTGGACTATCCGTATATCAATTGGAAACCTTACGGTTTTAGCATTGTGCATTAGAACCCATGCATGGACTTGTTTATTGGACATCAATCGACGATCCTCGACGAGTTTTTACATGTGTTCGAAACAGCATATAACTTACAATATTGCATTGAATTAAGGTTGTCGGAAGGAGAAGAAAAAGAATTATAGACTAAGAGACAATAGAAAACTTGAAGTGCATGACATGCTTATAAGTTTTGCCCGGTTGGACGATCTGCGAAGGGAAGTTCTTGTAGTTAACTGAATCAGGGTAGCAGTGTCATATTCACAACACATGAGCCGACCCCCGAGATTCAGATGAAGCCAGAGACAAAGGCAACATCAGCCTCTCTCTCTCTCTCTCTCTCTCTCTCTCTCTCCCCTTCATCGACTGTACAAAGTTGAAAGGACTCCAATGTCTCACTGTTTTGTACATTTTTTTCCCTTTTCGATGTCTCATGGTTCTGATTCTTCGTACAGTGACACGTACGTATCTGACGGTTTTATTTCATACTAATTTTACGGTGGTTAAGAAAATAACTATTAGTTAAAACCTTGTAAAAAACTGTCTATTTTCCCAATTATGCAATTATATCATTCAGATTTCCATTTTCAGAAAATACATGCAAGACGATAAGTATTATAAGATAATGTTTTTTTGGAGATGTATATAAGATATAATGTTTCGAGGGACCGAGAGATTATTCTATGCAAGCAGTCCAAAGTGGAAAGAGCCAAAGAGAAGTGAAGCAGTGTGTTTCGGAAATGGTCTTACATGGTTTTTGGGTTCTTCTCAATGGCATCTTTGGATTTTTTTTTTTATATAAATAAATATGTATACAAATAAGAGAAAAAAATTCAGATATAATTTTTTTATAAAAAAAATCATAATAATACGTATCTAATTATTCCGCACTTCTCTCTTCTTCTGTTGGGCTATCCATGCGACTTCTCAAGGCCACCACCACCACCTTTGCCTCTCTTTCAGCAATTTTCTTAGTGGAGAATATTATTATATATAAAATTTATTTACATCACATACATTTATAACATATGTATATCAGTAATATTTATAAAAAATTGTTTCATGGGGATTTTCGGATTTTTAAAAAGTTAATTATTGCATATACATATAGAAATTGCAGTTTCATAGCTAGACTATCTAGATCATGTCATGTGGGGTACAGTACAGGGATTATAGTACGCAAATCGCATATTATATGGCTGAGGGAAGAAGAATATTGCTGAAAAGCACATGATTATGTGGATGGATGAGGTCAACCCCTAAATAAAATTTGTGTTTCCGTCATTAATGTCTCTTGCACGTTAGATCTATTTAATTTGTACTGTTTCAACGTACTGATCCAAAACCCAATATGCTCTTCAAATTTATTTACCTGCTGGAATAATATAACTTATATATATATATATATATATATATATATATATATATGTATACATGGGACTGTAACGTAAATTCAGTGGTCGACCAAAGGGACAAAATGGGAAAAATAAGCAAGAATATATACCTGTATGGAAATGTGGGTGAAAAAACTTAAATCAGAATTCATAATCACAACTTAATATTATACGTAAATGATATATATATCATCATGCATGGCAAATTTGGTCTCCTCTCAATTTAATAAAAACCAAAAAACCATGGCTCGGAACACCTAGTTTCATCTTAATTGACCAGAAAATCGATGAAACACAAAATATCTAGTGGTCGAGTCTCTTCTTCAAATCTTGCAAGATCTTGGCGATGAGGGACATGTACTTGACCTCTTTCATGGGCACGACCGAGTTAGAGGCCTTGACCGACCACTCGGTGTGGAACTCAGTGAGGGTCGTGGACAGAGTCTGGATGTCCTTGTCGTTGAGGTTTTTCTCCATGAGTTTGTCCAATATCTTCTCCGATTTGGTCAGGTAGTTAACCTCCGTTTTCAGACCCTTCACCTTCAACTCCTTCTCCTTCAACTCATCCATCAATATCTTCGCCTCGTCAACGTCCTTAATGGTTTCCGAGAATTTTCCCACTCGGTGCGCCTCTGATGCCTTGCTAACGATGAGGACGAGGGCGAAGAGAGCGACAAAGATTGGGATCTTTTCCATGGTTGATAAGATTTTTGTAGAAGAGATTAGAGGAGAGGTGCAATCTCCTTTTGTGGGTTCTTGTTGGCTATTTATATGTTTTGTTTGTACCTAAGAATATCATTACGTAACGTTGTAAGAGAGATCGACGGTCGTCCACTAAACCAAAAAACAAAATATTAAAAGTAGTGTAATATGTTTGCGTATATTATCCTTGGTTATCCGTAGAGGTCGTGTTAGCATTACTATCATGCGTGGACTATCCGTATATCAATTGGAAACCTTACGGTTTTAGCATTGTGCATTAGAACCCATGCATGGACTTGTTTATTGGACATCAATCGACGATCCTCGACGAGTTTTTACATGTGTTCGAAACAGCATATAACTTACAATATTGCATTGAATTAAGGTTGTCGGAAGGAGAAGAAAAAGAATTATAGACTAAGAGACAATAGAAAACTTGAAGTGCATGACATGCTTATAAGTTTTGCCCGGTTGGACGATCTGCGAAGGGAAGTTCTTGTAGTTAACTGAATCAGGGTAGCCCTGAGTCTCCAGACACAATCCAGCATAAGCTTTGTAAACGGCCCCATTCTTCCCCTTGACGTTCTTCAGTTGTCCTCCCGTGTAGAACTGTAGGCCCGGTTGGTTCGCCGACAATTCCATTTTCCTTCCCGATCTCTTGTCCACGAGCTCCACCACCTTTCTGATCCTTTTCGCCTTACCTTCTAGACAGATGTTTATATCATATCTGCATACGTATATATGCCAAGAGTTAGAATATTAAATACAAGAACGTGAATACGTACACGATGGATTCTTGATGAATATGGTGACTCACCCTTTGTTAAGCTTCTTGATCTTGTCTTTGATAGGGTGGAGATGGAGGAAGTCGAAGGGGGTTCCTTGGACGGGTAGGGTTTTTCCGGTGGGGATGAGTTGGCCGTCGACGGGGGTGTATCTGGAACCCAGGATTCGGATTTGTTCGGACAGGATGTCGCCGCTGTCATGACCTCCCAAGTTCCAGTAAGTGTGATGAGCCAAGTTCACCGGCGTTGCTTTGTCTTTTGGTTTTGCCTCCATTTCCACTCTCAGCTCGTTTGTTCCCACCAGTTTGTACGTCACTTTCACTCTTAGTTCCCCTGGAAACCCTGTTCACGTACGAACATGCACACAGAAAAATGTTAATAATTGTGACAACCAATAAAAAAACAACTAATTGTGCCGAAATTGCAATAATCAAACGAATTCGGGACCTTGGTCACCGTCAGGGCTCGTGTAGGTGAAGACAATGAAAGGTGTATTGCCATCGAACCTGCGCTTCGTAACCGACCACACAACATCACCAAATCCTCTCTTTCCACCTGATCATGCACACACACATACATACATGTGTATATATATATATATATGAGTATATATTTTCGGTCGATAGATTTAAATAACTTGGGTTAAATTGAGGAATGGCTGCTTACCGTGGAGTGTGTTCTTGCCCTCATTTGCAACGGTCTTGTAGGTTTTGCCGTTCAATTTGAATCGAGCCTTTCCTATTCTATTTGCAACACGACCTACGGTGGCTCCAAAGTACACCGTGTCATTCTGATTGCCCAACAAAAAGAATATAAAATTAGCAAAATCGAATATGTATATGTAAATATACGCATATATGAAACGAAGATGATAATCTTCTTACCATGTAGTCCTTGACGCTATCATAACCAAGAACAATATCTCCCATCTTCCCTGAAAAATTACACAAGACACACGTGTATATATATATGGTCACATACATACATACATATATATATATATATATATATGAATATGAAGGAAAGTGGATTGGTTGGCAAACCATGCTTGTCAGGGAGGATGAGTGACATGATTGAGGCACCCCAATTTGTAAATTTGACTGTCATGTTGCCCTTCTTCAGCTCATATGTCCCCGCATCCTTACTCTCATGTTCATCCGCATTTACCTCATCACCATGATGACGACCACCCTTGTTTTTGTCCTTGCCATCCTTGTCGTCATCGTCATCATCATGACCACCCTTCTTCTTATTCTTATGTTCCTTGTCATCGTCGTCGTCATCGTCATCGTCATCATTAGAATCAACATCCTGATTGTTCTTCCTCCCTAATTCAATGTCACTTCCTTTCACTTTGGTCGGCTTATCACCGCCATCCTCGCTTTGGATTTCCAAATCCTTAGACTTCACGACTTCATGGTCGGCATATGAGACGCTGATCACAACAGCAAATGTGACCAGAAGAACAAAACATAACAAAACAGGAAATCTCGCCATTTTTTATAAAAAAAATCTTTGTGGGTGTGTTGAGAGTGAGATACTCTTTCGAGGGTTTTAAATAGGCGAATTGTTTGATATAAAAATAACAGATTTTGGAAAATTTGTGATTTGCATTAAAAACAGGAGACAAAAGCGGGGATGAGTTCGCATGCTCATCGAAGATAAAAGAGTACAGTGGGGCTAGTCAAAGTCTATCCGACAAAAACCACATAAATAGAAAAACTGTATTTTCATCCAACCATACATCTGACAATCAAAAGAAGAAACAAATCGATGGATGAACCATATATGGATCTTATTCTATGTATAGGGACAGCCAAAATCTATCCGGCAATAGCTATTTATATGTGTCTATTAACCAATTCTCTCTCAACTTATTTTTGATTTTTTATTTATAATAAACCGAAATTTTAGTATAATTAACCACCAAAGATGGGAAATTAGGTGAAGATAATGTCCTTTGTGAGTTCCATGCATCACCAAACCTCTTAGTCGCATGAAAACGCCAAATGCGTTCTCTCTCATCGACACGTAATTTTCACCATTCCTTATTTTAAAATAAACGCAACTTTTATGCGCACGAAAATGCCAAATGGGTTCCCATGTCATTGACACGTCATCCTGACGGTGCATTGTATATATATATGTATACATGCAGTATCATCAACACAATATGGGCTGTTTCCGGTGATTTTCTTTGTATTTGGGCCTTGGGTGAATCTCATGGACCGTAATATTGGCTACACGACATGACATAGATATTAACAAATTTCAGCTTTTTCATTTCTCAACGCAGCGAGCGATCAGGAAAAAATAAATATTTTGGATGGAAGGAAAGAAAATATATATTCGGTCAGTGAAAATTCAATCGACGGCTGTGGTGAGAGAAAACAGATTAAGGGTCTCGATCCAACGGCTGTTAAAATTTAACTGTCGACGCAGGAAACCCCTCTCCGATAATAAAAAAAGAATTAGGGCTCCCTCTCTCTTTACCACATTTCCAGCTTCTCCGTGCTCTCCGATTTCGATTCCAGACTTCAACTCCGTCGCCCTTCACAAGCAATCATGGCCAAGGGTCCTGGTCTTTACACCGAAATCGGCAAAAAAGCCAGAGGTACTCGCTCTTTCCTCCTCTCAATCCGTCCCCTTTTATGTCTGTGTTAATGATTTTGTGTTTTTGATCGGGTAGTGACTAATTGGTGTGCTCTTTAGAATTTCTTCATCTGGGTGTGCTTTGGATTATCACAAATTCTTAGTTTCTATATCTGGGTCTCTCTCACTGTTCGTCGGTATCAGTGTCGTGCATACATGCATAAACTTCCGGTGCTTGATGATTTGGATTTCGTGGGGATTCGAATGATTCTCTGGGTTCTGAGTCACTCTTGATAGAGTTTTCGATACTCAAGATTGTGTTTTGCATCGATTCTATTTCGTTGTGGATCTGAAAATGTCTATCTATATGCATTATCAATCTCGTGTTCTTGCGTTTATGTAAGGCAGCCTCTGTTGTGTGTATTTGTTTCGTTGAGTTGTCAAATATTTGAATTCTTATTTCCACGGATTGTAGATCTTCTTTACAAGGACTACCAGAACGACCAGAAATTCACCATTACTACCTACTCTCCAACCGGTGTTGTAAGTTTCTTCCTGTCATTCTTCATTTTGATGGTTTGTAATCTGTTCTTCATCCTGTATGTGTATGTGTATGTGTGATGCTTATAGTTGGCCGTTTTGAGTTCAGGTTCTTATTGTTGGAGGAGATGGGTTGCATTCCTTGTCATGCATTATTTCATATTCATTTTTTATTTCTTAGTCGTTGAACCGCCAAGCCTAGCTTGCCCGTTGTGACTTAGAATCGGAAATGTGAATACTGTCCTAGTTGGTTTACATGTGGCTGGATGAATGTTATGTTCTGCAACATTGTGTTTCTGTCTTGACCATCTTTTCTCATGAACTGACTCATCTTTTTGTGCTTCCTTTCACTTTGTTAGGCTATCACTTCGACAGGAACTAAGAAAGGAGACGTATTCTTGGCTGATGTAGCTACCCAATTGAAGAACAAGAATATCACAACTGACATCAAAGTTGGCACGGATTCCACTGTAAGAACGTTCTCTAGCAGTCTAGCTTCTTCTTTGTCCGAGTCATTCCTAGTTCTTTCGCCATGATCTCTTTGTGTGTGTGTCCATTTCTCATGGCTATATTGTATTGATGATTGTTTACCATGCAGCTTTTCATTTTAATATTTTGCCCCTTTTCTGAAACCTGTATGTATAACGATTGCAGCTTCTGACCACTATTACGGTTGATGAGCCCGCCCCTGGGCTGAAGTCGATCTTTAGCTTCAAGGTGCCTGATCAGAGATCTGGCAAGGTAGTGTTCATACCATCTTCTCTATCTGCCTATGTTTATTCCGAGATGGGTTTTCTTGTTTTCATTTGTTCTACTGGGTCATGCTTCTAACTTCAGATTACTGCCTTTTGATCTTCTAACAGGTTGAGCTTCAGTACTTACATGATTACGCTGGCATCAGCACCAGCATTGGGTTGACTGCCAACCCGATTGTGAACTTCTCCGGTGTAGTTGGCACCAACGTCTTAGCCCTTGGTACCGATGTTTCCTTTGATACCAAAACTGGAAATTTCACCAAGTGCAATGCTGGTCTGAGCTTCACCAAGGACGATTTGATTGCTTCCCTCACTCTGTAAGTACATTTGATGATGATTTGATAACATAATGGATCTTTTTTCTGGAAGAAAGAAATTATTCAAGGGGGGGTCTGATCTGGGTTTCGGGTATAATGATAGGAACGACAAGGGAGACACAGTGAATGCATCATACTACCACATAGTGAACCCACTGAGCAACACAGCAGTAGGAGCAGAGGTGAGCCACAGCTTCTCGACGAACGAGAACACCATAACAGTGGGAACACAGCACGCCCTCGACCCACTGACCGCTGTCAAGGCAAGAGTGAACAATGCAGGCAAAGCAAGTGCCCTCATCCAGCACGAGTGGCGCCCCAAGTCTTTCTTCACCATCTCTGGAGAGGTTGACACCAAAGCCATAGAAAAGAGCGCCAAGATTGGTCTGGCTCTTGCCCTCAAGCCTTGATCTTGGAAATCCCAGTGGCAGTGACTCCTGTTGGTTTGGGTGCCTGCTCCTTCATGGCTTCTTCTTCTCTCTTTTTCCCCCCCTTTTTTGGACAAAGAAGGGCTTATATGCTCTGAGCTTTTCCTTGATCTCGTTGGGTTGGGTGTTGGATTTGTAGAAAATAAAAAAAAAAATTAATAAAAGATTTAAGGATCGTCGTCTCCGGGATGAAACCTATAAAGAACCTTCCGTTTTTTGGGCCTTTCAAGGGAATTTGACCTGTTGTTATCTTCTTATTACATTCTTTTAATGAGTATTGTGTGGTTGCCTGTTTCATCAAATTTTAGGTTCCCAGATTTTTGTCTGATATTTTTTTTCCTGGGATTCTGGGTATAAATTAAATAGGCTTTTTACTGGGCCCTACAGGATCCTAAGTTGGGCTTTATTGGATTCTAGAGCAATTGACTGGCCCAGCTGCTGCCTCTGGTAATATCCCTTACTGCTTAAATCTTCCATTTATTCTCTGAGAATTAGCGGATGCCACGTTAGGTCAGGTGGATGGAGTATTTTATTTTTTTGGACACTGCATTGTTATGTTTGCAATTTAATTTTAAATTAAAATACAAGAACAAAAACTTAAAAAGTTCTAAAAAAATCCATGGTCGTGAAAAAAATGAAGTTTACGGGAAGAAAATAAAATAAAATTAAAATTGAATAACGGTTACTATATAGCAAGTAGAAAACATTATAATATAACATAAAATATGGGATTACACATTACAGGGAGAGAGTGTTAATTAACACCAGTCAGTCAACATGAAAAGCTTCTTTCACATAAACGTTTTTACATCTTCATCTCTCTCCTTCTAACCATTTCCAGACAGAAGCTTCAGCAATGGAAGAACGAACCAGATGAGCTTCTGTCGTTCTCCCGTTCCATTCGACAGTCTTTACCTTCAAATGGATAACGAAATCATGTGAATCCGTAAAAAAAATATCTCCTTGATCACCAAGAAAGCTAATTGGTTGATCCTTTAGGCTTAGGAGATGGAATCTGATGGCGATAGGGCGAAGAGCCATGAGGACTAGACAGAGTCCGGAACACATGTTGGCCGTTTCTAGACGCTAACCGAGCTGACCCACTTTTCAGACGGTCGGTTTGCATTGTCTGAAAGTAGTAGGAGGAGCTCGCCATGTCTTTCAGATGCGGAAGTGGTTTCAGGGCTTCCACCACTTCGCTCATCTTTGGCCTAACCTTAGGGTCACGGCTCAGGCACTTCACCGCAAGCTGCGTCGCCTTTTGTGCTCCTTTAATGGAGAAATGGCCCTCGAGCCTCGGGTCAAGTAACCTGTAGAACCTCCTCCTGTCATGGAGATGCGGTCTTGCCCATTCCACTAGGTTGTGTTCTCCGTTTGGCCTGGTTTTATCCATAGATCTTCTACCCGTCAGCATTTCGAGCAGAACCACCCCGAAACTGTAAACATCGCTCTTGGATGTCAAGTGACCTGTGGAGATTATACCATGAAAAACACAAGGTTAAGTATATCTTATCTATCTATCCTGAAGCAACACAAATTTACATAGCAGAACACAAAAAATCAGTACAAGGCATTGTAATAGATCATGTTCTGTCTTATACTCACACCAGCACTTGAATGAAAGAACCGACCCAAAACAGGACTCACCAGTCATGACATACTCGGGGGCAGCGTATCCATATGTGCCCATGACTCGAGTAGAGACATGGGTTTTGCCCTCATCAGGAGCATCTTTTGCAAGCCCAAAATCCGATAGTTTTGCATTGTAGTCCTGAAACGGGAATTCGTGATGTTAGAGGGCACGAAAGGGACCAAAAATATAAATGTTTGACAGTAACAGGGGGTGCATATATCTACAAGCTATACATACTGCATCAAGTAAGATGTTCGAAGTTTTGAAATCTCGGTATATAACTGGCTTTAGGGCTTCTTCGTGGAGGAAACTGAGACCCTTTGCCGCACCTAGTGCAATCTTCATCCGGATAGACCATGGAAGAGGTAAAGACCCTTTAAAACACACAGCCGTCGCCCAAGGAAAAAAATTAAACTTTGACAACTTATACATAAAAATACATCACAGTGACAGAGAAGGGGGAAACTCAAGTATGCCCTTTAACACATTTACAACAAAGAACTCCATTAGATAGAACGGTGAATGTGAGACTTTTCCCCTATTGATCCGCCAAACCCTAACATTACTTGCAGTATCAAATAATAGATAACTGAAGTCTATCGGTTCGCTTTTCTTTTTTATAATTTGGATTGTACAGACGCAAAGACCGGGCCTAGTGATGTATTCGCCGATGGACTACATGTTAAAAGACATGAACATGATAAGAAGTTTATGGTTTACTTACTTCTGAAAAGGTGGTTCTCCAAACTTCCTCGAGGCATAAACTCATAGACCAGCAGCCTTTGGTCATCTTCGATGCAATAACCATTCAGTTTAACAAGATTCGGATGGACAAGATTACCGAGAAAATTAATCTCAGCCTGCAATGCAAAAAGAGGATTTCAAGCACTGTCATCATTTAACCCTGATGTGAAACATGTGGTGATAATATGTGACAGTAATGAAAAAGAAATGTTTTTTTTTTTTAAAAAAAAAGAGAAGCCAAAAGGGTCTCACAAGCCATTCTTTATGACCCTGAAGTCCATCAGGATTTAGGGTTTTGACAGCCACAGTGAGGCCAGTTCCAGGCTTAACAGGAGCAGTGCCATTCTCCTCAATCCATCCTTTAAAGACACAACCAAAACCACCCTCTCCCAGAAGACTTTCTGGTCTGAAATTTCTCGTCGCCAACTTCAGATCATTGAACGTAAACTTCCTCAGGTGAGAAGAAACCTTCAGTTCTTCACTGATCATCGGAGTTGACGAAGAGCTCTCAGCATTACTAGTCGTCGTCGTCGAAGAAACATGAAGAACTGGTTGGTCACTTGATTTCTCATTTGCTGACTTACTTTCCACTGTGTGAGTAATCAAAGAAAGAAAAAACAAAAGAGCATACAACCGTCATTACAAAACTATCATAATGTTTTCTCTGCAACTGCTTTATGATGATTTTTGTGATTACACACCAAGTGGTATATGCCCATAAGACAACCAAACACTTTATTTCTGATGATATCAAACTAAAACAACCTACACAACCCTTAGAAGGTTTGGCCCAGGCTCCCAAACAGAAAACCCTAGACAGACACAGACACAGATGCTGAAGTTGGGACAGAAAAAGAAAACTAACTGAACACTATCAAGTAAACACAACTCTGGTTCTGAAACATAAGTCCCTGGATAGAAAGACATATATCGGATAACAGCTGTAGAAACACCAGACACAAGAACAATCAAAGTTGATTTCAGCTCAAAATTTATCACCCATCAAGCGAGAAACTTCAGTAATCAAGACGTGCATCGACCTCGAATTAAAGAAGTAAATGGATCAAGGGGGAAACCCCACAAAAGCTAGAGAGAAAAAAAAAAAAGGAAAATTTTTTCAGAACTGAAGAGGGGAAAAAACTGTACCAGTGCTAGTAGTACCACTCAAGGAACCATCAACATCTGATTTTGAAGGTAAGCAACCCATCATAAACCTAAGTTTGACCCAACACCCACTTGCTTCTTCCTCAACTCCATTGCTATTATTAACATTGTTCTTCTTCTTCTTCTTCTTCTTCTTACTCTCATCTGATTTCTCCGATCGCAGACTATCTTTCACTTTAATGGCCCCAATATCTTCCAAACCCATCTCCCGAAACCACCGACCGGAGAAAGGGGATGAGAAGCAAAACGCAAGGATTCTCGATCAGACCACCATACCCTGGGGAAACCCCAAAGAAATCCGGTGCAAAATGCAGGGACTAGCACTGGGAAAACCCCCGAAATCAGGAGATTGGCGCATGACCTTGCAGCAAAGGACTGAGATTCACTGGGAATAGATTAACCCAGTCGTGGAATTTTAGTCAAAAAAGGGAATTGATGTCTGTGGAGATAGAGCGAAAGAGAGAGAGAGAGGGGGGGCAGAAGAGTAGACTAAAGAGAGAGATGCAGAAGGGGCAAGTGTCCGATGACGGGCAAAAGGGCAGCTCGAAACAGAGATGACGGGCAAGAGAGAGAGAGAGAGGGTTTCACGTGGTGGTTTGCTTGCTTTCAACAGTGGTAACACGAAGCCATTCTTCATATATAAAACTAAACACTTTTATTAGTCAGATAATAATAGTTTTATTAATCGAATAATGTTACAGACGACAGAGACATCCCGGGGCTTCTGCCGAGTGAATGTCCGGTCGGATACAAGAAAACCACCTTCAATAGTCTCATGTTTTTTTTAAATAGATGCATAAATTCCAGAGAAAAAAAAACGTAAATCATAATTAAAAAAAAGTGTAGAAACTATATGGAAGAATAAAAGTGTAGAAACTATTATTAAATAATTTTTTTGTTTTTATATGGTTTACACGAATATGACGGGGTTCATATTGTGTGGGAAGAAGCAATGAAAACCGAAGACGAGTCTCGCTCCATTGTACAATGAATCCACCGCATGAAAATATTATCTTCTAACTAACTCTGCCCCCTATATCCAATAAACACATTTGGGGAATTTTATTTTTTTATTTTTAAAAAAGACACAAGATCCAAAATTTATCAGACAGAGATGTCATTTAATTTGGAATATGATGCTATATACACACACACGCGCGCGCGCTACATAGACCTTTTGTAGGGGTGTCAAAATCACCGGGCCGGGCCAGCCCGGCCCGAGCCCGACACAAGCCCGAATATTTACGGGTCGGGCCGGCCCGGCCCGAAAAACCAACGGGCCTAAAATCTTCGGCCCGGAGCCCGGCCCTATGGGCTTTTTTCGGGTTCGGGCCGGGTTTCGGGCTTAAAATTTTTTTAAAAAATTATAAACAAATTAAAATAATAAAAATACAAAAAATTTTAGTACATTTCGTGATAATTAAAAAAATAAAAAATAGATTACAAAGTTATATATTTTGATCTAATATAAATTTAAATTTAAAATTTTTTAATTTTATATGGTAATAAATTTTTAAAAATGATAATTTATTATATTTTTCATTTGGAATAAGTATTTGAAACTAATAGTATTATAATTTTGATTATATCATTTATGAAAATATTATATCCTGAATTATTTAGTATTAAACAAGTTTTTAGTTTTTAGAACTTTCTATTATTATATAATATTTGTATATTTTTTATATATGTATATACATTATAAAATATATATATATATATATATATATATATATATAAAAGATTGAATAAATGTATATATATGATCAAATATGTGTGAAATATATATATGTATATCTATATTTACCTATATACATATATATTTATACATATAATTTATTTTTTTAATCGGGCCTACGGGCCGGGCCGGGCCGACCCGGCCCGAACCCGCTTTTGGCCCGTAATTTTCCGGGCCGGGCCGGCCCGGCCCGAAAAACGAACGGGCCTTGATTTGTAAAGCCCAAGCCCGCAAATTTTACGGGCGGGTTCGGGCCGGGTATCGGGCCTCGGGCTATTTTGACACCCCTACAGAAGAGCATCGAAAGTACAATCTATATGTAAGTACAGGTAATAA